ACAAGATTAAGATTGAGACTTTGCCTGCGTCAGTGTTCAGCCGGATATCGTTTGTAACCTTAACGAGAGCAGTCTCAGTGCTGTGGTGGGGTCTAAAGCCGGACTGAAACATATCAAATGAGTTGTTGAATATAAGAAATCTAGTAAGCTGTAGGTAGACAACTTTCTCAAGGACTTTCCCCATAAATGGCAGATTTGAGATGGGACGATAGTTGTTAAGTACTGTAGCATCCAGGCTGCTCTTTTTTAGCAGGGGCCTGATGACTGCAGTTTTCAGGGCCTTTGGGAATATTCCAGAATGAAGGGACATGTTTACTATCTGTGTGACTGAAGGTAACAGACTGCTCAGAACAGACTTCAGAAATCTAGTGAGTAGTACATCCAGGCTGCATGTGGAGGAGCTCAAACTGGAGATTATCTCTTGGACGGTTTTATCATTTACAGGTGCAAAGTGAGTTAGCTCAGAGAGCCTTTTTGGCTGTTGGATGGTTATCCTTGGATTGGAGACAATGGCGTTTTTGATGCCTTGAACCTTGTCATTGAAAAAATTAGCAAACTCATTGCATTTACGTTTGGAAGTAAGCTATAATGGCATTTGAACAGGGGGGTTTGTTAATCTATTAACTGTTGAGAACAGAACACGCAGATTGTTGCTGCAGCCTTCAATCATTTCAGAAAAATACCTTTCTCTCGTACTACGTAGCACCCGGTGAAACTCGCACAACTTATCTTTGAAGATCTCGTAATCAACCTGGAGGTTGGACTCGCGCCACTTCCTCTCGGCCCTCCGGCACTTTCTCTTTTGTGCCCTGACCGAGTCTACTTTAGCCCACGGCGCCTTCTGCTTATTTTCACTATTTTAACCTTCACAGGGGAAACGGTATCCAGAACATTCAAAACACTAGAGGTGACAAAGTTAAACAGTTCATCTACAGTAGAATACGATGCATTCTCAAATTTTATCATTCCCATAAATTGTTCACTCGTATTTTCATTTATGTGCCTTCTTCGAACAGTTGCAGAGTCCACTGGTGGTTTGTTAGTGAAACACATGTCAAAAAAAACACAGAAATGATCCGAAAGAGCAACATCGACCACGTTTACATTTGAAATATTCACCCCCTTAGTAACTAACAGGTCTAGAGTGTGCCCTCTGCTGTGGGTGGGGCCACTTACGTGCTGAGTGAGATCAAAGGATTCAAGTACAGAACTCAGCTCATTTGCATTTCTGTCATCAACATTATCCACATGAATATTAAAATCACCTGTAATAACCAAACTTTGTAGTTCTAAAAAACATCTTTTAGGGTGTTTTTTTAATCACTTTTGTCTCTCCCACGGACCTTATTTTCCTCTCTCCTAACCACGCGACGTTCAGGTTTTTAATATGGGCAAAAGGCAACATTAAGCAAAATTAGGGGCGTCGATGACGTCATTAGCGGAACTTCTAAGCGGAACGTTTTTGGGGACCGGGCCAATAGTTAAACTTTCCTTAACTGAGGCGGTTGGCAACCTGTTAGCCCCCAGCTATTCATTCCTGGTTTTTAGGTTTTTATTGATCGGGTTTCACACATGTTTAGGGTTTTTGTATTTCATTCATATTTATAACACAAACTTCTTAACAAAAAAAAAGATACAATAAAACTCTGTTGTTTTACCAAAAGCTGAAATTGGATTGAAAAGGTTTTGTGATATTTAAACAACTACTAGTATTTTTACATCTGAAAAAAATGGATTGGCGGTCCAAAAAAAAAGCTTTTCTGTTTTAAGTTAAGCTGAGTAAAAAAAAAACTGATTCATGTTTGGAGAAGGGGGGAACAGGCTGGAGATAATTCTTCTACATTTATTAACTGACGTGTTAAGGAAAAACCCGGAACATGTCTTTGCTGGGTTGATCCTTGAATGTTTTGGATCCTTGTAATTCTTTTTTCCATATTTAACAAACATTATTAATATTTTTATTAAGTCTAGTGTTAAATGAAAAAAAAAAAAAAAAAAATAAAAATATTTATATATATATATTATATTATATATATATCCTTTTATTCTCCAAACCAGCTTTGTCAATTCCCAAACCACTTTAATGAATTTTGCTGTGTACTTAAAAAAAATCAAAAAAGTTGTATTTTCTCTTAACATTCAAGGTATACTTACATTAAAAATCTTATTAGAAAACCAAAATCTGTATGTATTGATCTATTTTTCTTGTACTAAAAAAAAAATTACGTGTGTTTTCTTCAAAAATTTTTACATTTTAAGTTATTTACTCCTGTGAAATATATTTTTCAAATTAAGCACTTCTGTAAATAATTATTTTTTAGGTATAATTTGTTCGAGCGTAATAAAAATTAAAATATTAATTATCAAAAATTATCTTATAAATATTTAATAACAAAATTAGTATTTGGGTTATCTTTTCTAAAAATTACACAATTTAGTTAAACTTAAAATTATACTTTAAAAAAATTTCGGGAGGTAAGTTACAACAAGCATATTGTTTTTAAATGTATTAGTTTAAGGGACAAGGGAATTACCACTATAAAGTATAAATTTAAAAAAAAAATGTATTTTTTTTTTTCGCCTTTGCGGTTTTTAAACAGGCCGGGATTTGGGATACAAAAAACAAAGATTTTACCCCAGTTGGTGATTCTTCCATGCCAACAACCTCTACAAGCAGAGGGAAAAGAGGGGGACCAAAAGGGAGTGAATAAGTGGCTGGGGAGGCGGCGGGAAAAAGTCGGTCAACCCAGTCCCACGGAATCAGAAGGGGGGGGGGGGAACAAAGGGGGGGGGGGGGGACCCACTGCCTTCAAATATTTATAATTTCCCAGTTTAGCATTTCCCCCCCTGGGGTGGTAAAAATTTGGGTTTACTCCACCTGTATATAAAGCCAGGGGAGTTTTGTCCTTTGGTGGGGGGGGTCTTTCTTTGCGTTTTCACTTGGTTTGGTTAGGTTAATTTTACTTTAGGGTTGGCCACAACTCTTTGTTATATTTTCTTTTTGTATTTTTGTTTCAAAAATTTTACATTTTATTTTTTTCCTTAAATTAAATTAGAGGTTGGAATTTTATCACCTGTTGGTCTTGCCTTATGTTTTGGGTTTTCCTTTTACACAAGCTGTTTATAAACATCTTCAAGGGAAGCACAGTTATTGCACAGGCAATTATTATTTAGAAAAAAATGGAAGGAAGTAATCAGACCATGCAAATTCTTTACCAAAGAAACCCGGCCGGTTCCTTCAAAAATTTTTCAATCTCAACAGACAACAAAGGAGGGCATAGGGGGGGAATGATCCAGGAGATTGCAGCAAGTAGGGCCCATGCTTTTCACTGCTGGAATGAAGTGCAGAATACACTTACAGGCCTTTAGGTTTGGGTGCTGGATGTGGTGGTTTCATGGTGATGGAGCTGTGTTGGCTTTTACGCCAAAAAAAAAAAAATTTTATCGTTTTTTGCATTTGTGGGAAAAAAAAAAAAAAGGTTCGGATTTTGGTTTTCATCTGACCCAGAAGCACCTTCTTTTCCAAATGTTTGTTGTCTCCCAAGGGGGTGGTTTTTTTGGGCCCGTTGTTGTGCTCGTGAAAACGAGTTTTCAAAGAAAACGCGTTTTCATTGAAAAAAAACCACGCCTCATTTTTTTCGGATTTGAACGGTTGGGAAACTGAAAAACGCCCAACCACCTTTTTAAAAAAAAAAAGGAAAACCTTTTGAAAAACGGGGAAATAGTTTTATTTTTATGTGTTCATTGACCGGGGCAGACACACTATGAAACGGTATTTGGAAATTGTTTTCTCTTTTGACACACGCAAGGAGAGGAAAAGTTCCCTCCCCTCCCTGTCTTTCTCGCAACTTTTTAACCGCTGAAAATCTTAAAAAATTTCCTACGGTTTTCAACGTTTTTGTGAAAAAACGCACCCCGGACTCCGGTGGTTTTGGGTTTTTTTGCGGCGCTGTACCATATTGCATTTCCTGGACGACAAATTCACCAATCTGATTGCTCAGCTTCTTCTAGGACATGTTGATAACATGCGAAAACAGTTCCTGTGCCAGCTGCAGGCAAAGCCCAACTTCGCAGTCTCTCTCACTTCCATGGGAGTGCTGCGATCTTACAATAGCACACACTGACGGCAGTCCCATGCTGGCTCTTTGATTTTTGGACTGTGTTGAGTGGTCGGGGAAGCAAAGTGTTGTCAAAGACCAGGGGCTTTCGTGGCTGTGTCTTGCGGGGAGGGACTCCAATTACGACTTTGCTGCAAGCTGCCTCCTGATAAGTCCTGTCTGGAGGTGGGCAGTCTCTCACTGCGGGTTTATTGATCAGTCTCTTGGCATTTTGTTGAAACTGTTGGTCACAGCAATGTCCATCAGGTGCTGGAAAACCGGTAATTTCCCCGCCGAGTTTTTCTGTGGACAGAGTTCCGTGCCCAGCATATGATCGGATTGTTGTGTATGACACCGCCCTTGTAGATGTGTTTTCTAACCATTGCGGTCGGCCGGGGCAATGGGGACCTTCGAATAAGTACCGTCCTCTTTCTGCCTCAGCGCATCACAGTCTCTCACTGTATACACACTGTGAACATTGGGTTCAGATCGATAACTCTCTGTGTCCATCAATTTACACAAAGAGAAGGTCCCTATCCCTTATCAGCGAATGGTGCCTACGTATGTTGATATCTTCGTCAGGCATGCTCCTTGGTCTTTTGGAGTGTAGCACCACTTCCCTGCAGGTATGTCCCACCATGCTCCCAAACCCCAGCTGCCCAAGATGACGGACAAGAGCAAAGGGCATGTTATAAAAATTGTCTCCACTAATAGTCAATGTAAAACACTGCCCAGATAGGCTTTGTTGACCATGAGGCCAACAACATCAAAAGACACGTCCTTTCCACTGCTGCAGAATTTCCTGTGTAGAGCTGGAAGTCCATTGTGTACCATTGGAGTATGCCATAGACTAAACACTTTAGTCACCACTTGTCGGCTTGTACCTCCGTATTGTGTTTAGGAATGACAATCGTGCCTTTGGGGCCCACCATATTCTTTGTGACCGCATGTGCCGGGTCCGGTTGGGTAGACCGCCATGCAGCGGGTCGAAATCATGTTGAGGTAAAGAGTCTGAACGGTTTTGTAGAGGTGTCAAATTCCTCTGTTCTTCTGGCCAGTTCATTGCTCGCATCTTCTCTGGTCGCTGATGTGCAAGTGGACAAAATGGCCTTGAACTGTCTCCTGGGCATGATCTGTAGCTTTTATAGTGGGTAAAGGAAAACATCGTAAATGCTGTCGTGTGTGTTTTCGCACAGTCTGTCATGCTTTGGTAAGTTTACGACACCCATGTAGAGAAGACGCCAATAAATGTTCTTCATCTACCTATGTGTTCGATGTGCCGTCCACTTATATTTTATTTCCTCGAGTCTTGTTGCGCGCAGAGTCTGATTAGTGTTTTCTGCAAAGTAGCCTCAAACTCAATATCAAAAAAAATTTGAAAAAATATTGAGGGGTGTGGGTGGACACCAGTGTTTATGAGGTTCCCTGATACTGCCAGCCCGTTCGCTCGGGTGTGAACTTGAAGTTCGGCGGTGGGGAACTTCGGGCCCCTCTTCCACGTCTCCTCACCTTCTGGAAGCTGGACTGTGTGGCGTTCCCGGTTTCGGGCAGTGGCACCCTCTGATCCCAGTCTCCCCTACACCTGGGGCGTGGCCACGAAGCTGGCCTTCTGTTGACCCCATTCCTAGGAGGTACTCCTATAAAAAATAAATAATATAAAAATAAAACAATACATGTTTTACAATAGCATTTAAAAATCTGTCTGCACTTGTAAAATACATAAAAAGCAGGAGGACAGGTGCAGTTGTGATTATTTTGATTCAAATTTTACTCACTCAGAGTGAGGTGATGCTGGCTGGTGGCTTCTCCCCCTCTATAAGTGCCCCACTCTCCTCAACGCCCTCGATCACTGCGGTCACCATTGCTCTATAAGTCGGCGACGTGTGGTTTGGGCACTCTTGCAGACATCATGACATTAGACGAACTGCTCCCGCCTGCCTTCCACCTGGTCGCTGAACATGTTGGGCACCCTACTCCCACATGTGCCATTTTCCAGACATGTGGCCACTAAACCTGGAGTGGCAGTTTGTGGCAGGCCACTAGATGGAGCCCTCTTCAGAACTCCTACAGTTACAAAAAAATTAAAAATGAACATTACTCATGTTACAATTGAAATAACAATATTGGCAAAAGTGTAGGAATATCACAGACAAAAAAAGTATATCTCACTGCAAGTTTCACTGTAGAAGTAAATAAATAAAAAGAAAAGGACAGTATAAGTGCAGATGTACTCTTATTATTTAGGAAAGAAAGGCCATTTCTAAGTCCACTATTATATTATTTGCACGATGAACAAGCTAATCTGTGATTACTTTTATTTTCAATGGTAATACTGTCAACAGCATTGTCAAAACTAAATGTATTTACTCCATGGGACATGAATTTCCAAAGCTACAAACATATTTCACTAGTATCAGCAAGGAGACTATCTCCGAAAAGAGGGTTTTGCTACTAACTATGCAAATGTAAAGGTTTCTGATTCTGTATAAATATAGTACACTGCGCTTCTCAAAACTAGAAATTGTCAGCGCGCTCAGACAGACAGCGTGCTGCAAACGCGTACTTTTCCCCCCGCCCTCTCATAATATAACTGTATTTTACAAATATTACTAACCCATGCAAGCATAATTTACACACTAACGGTAATCTTTACTATGAACAATGGATAATGTTTTGATAGTACTTACTGGGAAGGCAACGGTGGCGGATCCCTGCAGGTGCTGCTTCTAAAACTTTCTCCGTCGCGCTGCCCTCCACCACAAAGCCTTCTGCCAGCTATCGCGGTGTGTTTTGTGTACCCGCACGGATTGCCTTGACATTGATCCCAAGGGTCGTAAATCTTCCACTAACTATAAATATGCTGCTAAAATTCCAAACTGATATCGCTCTTCTTCTCCTTCGCATCTGTCGTCAAGCAACTCCTTCCCCCTGTGTGCTGCTATGGGGGTGGCGGGGCAAGCGAATTCTTACACGTGATTGGTTGGCTAGCTTGCATCATTCAAACACATTACCGTAATGCTGAGAGTGTTATTTAGAAAGGCCCATGGCTCTGCTTAAAGGCACAGGTGGATTTTTTTCGAAAGTGCAATTAGTTGAGGAAATACGGTAGGTCAAAGCGCGCATGCGCAAATCTGTCTGCGCCGACAGCAGCAGACGCCAAAGGGTTAAGGCGAACCAGGACGGGCACTGTGCGTTCTCTGCACTGGCGAAAAGGTCGACTACTGGACGGCCGAACCTCCGCCAGATCTCCGCAGCTACCCGTGGGGCCAGGCCCCACTCGTCCTGGAGTGGGCCCCCCCTGGACATTCTGTCGGCTCCCACGTTCCGGACCCCCGGGACGTGGCGCGCCCTGAGAGACAGGAGGTGAAGCGCCGCCCACAGCAACGTCACCGTCGCCATGCGATGGAGAGCGGGGGACCTGGTGCCCCCCTGCCTGTTCAGATAGGAGACCACTGTGGTGTTGTCTGAGCGCACCATCACGTTGTCTCCCCTGCAGCTGAGGAGCAAAGTGCAGCAGTACTCTGTGCACTGCCGCCATCTCCAGCAGGTTGATGTGACGGGCTGAGTCCGACCAGCAGCCTCCTACAGAACTCTGCGAGGACCCCGCCCCATCTTCGAGCGTCGCGTCCGTGAACACCTCGACGGAGTGAGACACAGCGCAGGCCAGAGTCACTCCGTCCCGCAATAGACCCGGAGTGAGCCAGAACCTGATGTCCGATGCTGCGGGCACTGTGCGTTCTCTGCACTGGCGAAAAGGTCGACTACTGGACGGCCGAACCTCCGCCAGATCTCCGCAGCTACCCGTGGGGCCAGGCCCCACTCGTCCTGGAGTGAGGCCCCCCCTGGACATTCTGTCGGCTCCCACGTTCCGGACCCCCGGGACGTGGCGCGCCCTGAGAGACAGGAGGTGAAGCGCCGCCCACAGCAACGTCACCGTCGCCATGCGATGGAGAGCGGGGGACCTGGTGCCCCCCTGCCTGTTCAGATAGGAGACCACTGTGGTGTTGTCTGAGCGCACCATCACGTGTCTCCCCTGCAGCTGAGGAGCAAAGTGCAGCAGTACTCTGTGCACTGCCTCCATCTCCAGCAGGTTGATGTGACGGGCTGAGTCCGACCAGCAGCCTCCTACAGAACTCTGGCCGAGGACCCCGCCCCATCCTTCGAGCGACGCGTCCGTGAACACCTCGACGTGAGACACAGCGCAGGCCAGAGTCACTCCGTCCCGCAATAGACCCGGAGTGAGCCAGAACCTGATGTCCGATGCTGCCCCTTGGGGAACCCAGATCAGCCTCCCCCCGTCCCGGGAGGGGTGAAGCCTGAGGCGCGAGAACCACCTCTGAAAATTTCTCATGTGGAGCAGGCCTAGCCGCACCACAGCATGAGCCGCTGCCATCATTCCCAGCAGGGACCTGAGGCGCCGAGCGGGGACTCTGGGGCCCGCCAGAACCTCCCGGGCCAGACGGGTAATATTCATCCGTCTGTCCACGGACAATGCAGCACGGAATATCACAGAGTCTAGCTGCAGACCGAGATAAACCATGCGTTGGGCTGGCTGCAGCTTGCTCTTCTCCCTGTTCACCACAAAGCCCAGACGCTGTATGTGGGACAGGGCCCAGTGCGTGTGGCTCACGGCCACTTCCCTGGATGGGGCCAGTATTAACCAATCGTCTATATAGGTTAATATTCTTACCCCCGCACGTCTGATCGGCTCCAGAGCTGCTTCCACACATTTGGAAAAGGTGCGAGGCGCGAGTGCGTACCCGAAGGGGAGACGGCAGTACTCGTAATTCCTCTCTCCCACTGCGAAGCGCAGAAACCTCCTGTGTTCTGGCACTATGGGCACGTGGAAGTATGCGTCTGTCAGGTCTATGGAAGTCATCCAGTCTCCTTCCCTGACACACTCGAGGAGCTGCCTTGTGGACAGCATCCGAAACTGCCGTTTGGAAATGCACTCGTTTAACACGCGCAGATCCAGAATGGGACGCACCCCGCCTGATTTCTTTGGCACTAAGAAGTAAGGGGAGTACAGCCCCCTGGTGGCGTCCTGCGGGTCTACCTCCACTGCTGCGCCTCGACTCAGCAGAGAGGAGACCTCCGCTTGCAGTGCCTCTGTCGATCCCCGTACCTGAGAGCGTACTGCCCGTACGCCTCGGAATGGTGGTGGCTTTCGGAAAAATTGCAGCGCGTAACCTCTGCGCAGAGTTTTCTCCAGCCAAATATCTGTCAGTAGGCCCTGCTCCTTCCAGATGCTGTAGAAATCTGTGAGGGGCGGAACGGGAGTTGGAACACGAGACGTCACGGCCCCGCCCCCTCCTGGTGTTCCTAGCAGGGAGGGGGGGGTGGCTGAAAGGGCCGGGGGGGCCCCTGCGTCACACCGTGAGCGCCGAAGGCGGTCACGTGTTCTGCAGGCCCGACGTCATAAGTACGGGACTGTTCACCACACGTGACTCGGCTGCTGTGCCCCCCCCTGGCTCTTGCCTCATGGAAGGGGGACGAGCCCCTGGATTGGGAAACCCCGTGTTAGCCTTGTAGCTCAGAGATGCTAACACGCGTTCGGCTGGAGCACACACATATATCACTCACCAGATCCCTCCGCCTGCCCTCTCTCCGGGAGGGCAAAACATGAACCCGTGAATCGGAGCCCGTGGCCCGCGTAGCGCGCTGCACGCCCTTCTCTGGGGGCTGCAGGCCTAGCGGAGCCACGTTATATGCTCGAGAAGTAACACAATCAGAATTCAAATCATTTGACATGTTACATACCCCCAAATGAGACTCAGACAGCGAGTACTGATGAAATGCCGGACGGCCTTTATTGAAAACATTTTTTCCCACCCCGACCTCCTCTGCCATAGGGAGGTCGTCGGTGGGTGTGTTGGTCCCGCGAACCTCCCGTGTGCCTGTCTGGGCCCGGGGGTCTCGTCGCTGGGGAACGATGGACCACGGAGCGTGGATATGGTCCGGGGCGCCTGCCGGGCGAGCGCTCCCTGCCTCTGTCTCGGCTCCGCGCTGGTGGGCGGGCCTCGCGTCTCGCAGCTAGATGCTTGGCTAGGCTAGCAGAGTCCTTAGCTGCGGTGTCCAGCCTCGTCATCAGCGTCTGCATCTCCGGACCGAAGAGTGACGTTTGGGAGATGGGCAGGTCCAGAAGCTGCCTCTTCTCCGCCTCTCTGAGATTCACCGACCCCAGCCAGAGGTGTCTGGCCCCAACTTGTGCTGCTGCCATCGTGCGGCCGCCATCGACAGCTAGCGCTTGGCACATGCGCAAGATCGCCGCTGAAGTGGTCCTCGCCTGGGATAAGGTGTCTCCACTGAGTGCCTGGTCAGAGGAGAGAGACCTATCCAGGGCCCCGGTGATGAAGGCCATGTTGTTAGCCACCGCAACGACCTGAGCCGCATTGGCGTAACATCTGTCGTGCATCGCCAAAGACATCCTATCCCGCTCGGAGGGAAGGAGAGGTCTGGTGCTGGGCCACACGGATGTGGAGGGGTGCAGGGCCGCCCGAACCGAGTCCTCGATGTCCGGGACCCCGCCGGTCCAGGACCAGTCCTGCACGTTACAGTACATGC